ATGAAATACAGAAGATTTATATACTTTTACCATAGTCATCGAGTCATATCTGCCTGTTTTCTCTACATTATTAATGATGGCAGGCAAAGTCAAAACCGAATGAAGATATATGATGATAATCATCTCGTCGAGTTGGTTTCAATTCGGTTATCGCATGGATCATGCTTTGTGTCAGCATAACTTTTTAGTTAACATAATTGTGCGTGATTGCGCATTAGCAATGGTATTTCTGTCTGAGTTTTGCTTGTAATGCACACGTCATTATTTGGTTACGACTTTGACAATCTGCTACTGGTCCATGCTCTTTACATCGATGTCTTACTTCGTGTGTTCGGATATATAAGTGAGCGATCAAGGTCGGCTGATGTCTATTCACACGCGAAGCTGAGCATAGTCTTGACCTATACGGACAATATAATCTTTCATTAGTATTTTGTTTTTCTTACTATTGCCGACCAAATAATAGGCTACTTTCAGTATTGAGGCCAATCGAAAAAATGCAGCTTTTACAACAAATAGTGTGAGAGTATTTTCTTTTTCGAAAAATTTGAATGTCAATTATAAATCAAGAAGGGTAGTATGACTCACTAGTAAGCTTTAGCTATTGAGGAAACTGAAACAAGGAAAATGTGTCACTGTGAAGTTGTAATCCATCAACTAATACTATTTTTCTGTTGTTTTAAATTCAACTACAATATTACTATCGTTTACCCTATCCAAAATAATGATTGACCTTCCTGGTACTATGCAAGATTGATTTCCGGAATTTATCAACGCTTATTTGTTACACGAAAGTTTCCCCTCAGATGAAAATACTTTGATGAAATGATTTAGAACTGTCATCTTATTCGTTCTAACTATATTCATCAATATTCACTAAGAAAATAAGTTATTTTTCATCGAAGCTCAAATGAATCGATAATTGTTTACGGATTGAATGGGTTAAACAGATCTAAAGATTTACATTGAACTTCGTCTAGAGTAATGGATTCATTGTCAGTTATTATCTATAATTGAGATGAAAATATTTGAGCATTGATCATGTTTTTTTGCAAAAATTATCCGAGTACTGTAATAGTTTATCATTAAGTACATAGAAAATAGTCTAATAGATCTTATCGATCGTTATTCATCCGTCACAATATTATTTGCTATTGATTTATCTGTAATACATACTACCAATTAATAGTAATTTAGTCGAATACGTTTTCCTCAATGTTTGACGTCATATATTGTTTTTGTTTTAGTTTTACCAAAAAATTTACTAGAATGGCTACAAATGAAAATAAATTCTGGAGTGAAACTCATGAGCTAAATGATTCAAAAACATAGTGCACTCAAAAAATAAACTTCGAAAGATATACGTGTCTGTTGGCATTTTATTCGTCCGCGTTGTTGTCATGAGAGATACTATATTTATATTAAAACAAAACAGTTATCAATCACATTCATCTTTCGTTTTTTTTATCTTCGTTTAATCCCAGGAAAGGGTTATAAAAAAGTGCATTTTGAACAAATTCAAATCCACTCAAAATTAGCATTGCATTCATTAACTCCGCGGTCAACATTGCACCTTTCAAAGTGGGGGTGGTACTTTCCTTTGCTTTTTGAGAAAGTAAAGTAAATATACCACCCGTACCTGACTTGCACCAACCCGCTAGAAAGTTAGAGACGACATTAAGATATATCTATATATCTATATGAGCTTTCGAGTAGCTAAGTAGAGTTTCATCAATGATTCTTTTTCAGAAATGTTGTTTACTGGTGAGAATGGATCTTCTTTATGAAAATTCACTAAATGAATTCCATTAGAAATAATATTTCAGAGAATTGTTGAAAGATGACAAAACATCTTTAACCGATATTGTATCGAACCAGCACTCATTGATTTAATAATTGAAATCCACAATTTTCTCTGATCAAAAGCGAGACGGAGGCGCGCTTCAAAGAAGGAGTGTGAATATGGTGAAACACATTACAGACGTGTTACCATCTTGTTCCTAAGCATCATGATCAATATAGAGTCTTCCTGCATTAAGTATTTTGTTTTACGCATACTTATCAATTTGTGTACATCGTAACCTGAGTATAGGAAAGTTTCGATCGTTGCATTGCGGCAATTATTTTTTACCTAGGATTGGAAAGGCATGAATATCTATGTCTATCTTAATGTGAGAAATATAATACTGTAGCTACAAGTCATAATGTGGACGTGCGCGTGAAAACCAATCCATTGGATAACCTTTGCTTCATGAAATTGTGTTGAGTATGAAAACAAAAAAAAACATGAAAACCATGCCGCTCGAGGTGGATGGTATACTTGATCACCTTGGACAGTGTGAGAGTTAAAACCAGTCGAGGTACAACTTTTGATTTATAATTGATCAACGTTTTGGTCAAAAAATTAATTGAGTTATAACTATCAAACCTAACTGTAGCCATAAAACCTTTTATAATTGAATAGATTCAAGTTATATTGCTATCACTGGAAAAATTATTTAGTGGATGAATTACTGATGCATGCTGAAGTTTATATTTTTGCATAGCTCTTGTCAATCAAAACATTTTATTTCAATCAATAAAAATTTGAGCTTAAGAAAAAAATATTGTAGATATAATTTAAAATTTAATAAAAAAATTCATTATATAATTTGAACAATTAGCATAGACATATGAAATGAGTAGAAGAAATAAGAAGGCAATGATCATTGAATCAATCATATACCTATAGAACCTGCTGATAGTTCTTGTACGTCATAATCTTCGTTTGAAATTTTGTCATTTTCTGCGTCTTCGGGTGATCTATCATGTTCAGAGGTTAATAATTGAATTTGTTAAATAAAATCAAGATCAATTAAGATTTCTTGAAAACCTCGATCGTTCGTGAGTGTGGGTGTGGGTGTGGGAGTGGGTGTGGACGTGGGTGTGGGGTGTGGGTGTCTGTGCGTAGCCTCTCATCATCCACACCCACACCCTCCAGCAAATGAACATAAATTTGCTAAAAATGACAATGAACAAATAACAGTTCCTGATTATTTTAATGAGAAATGAAAAATTCGTTTACCTCATCCACAATTACCGAAAATGTACCTTTTTAATATATTGAGTGCTTCATAAAATTCCAATGGCTCAATATTTTAAAACGAAAATTTTATGGTAAATAGAATTCACTGATATATGTGGTAGTAAAAGATTTCAGCTCAGTTGGTTGAGTCATTCGTGAGATATCGTTGCATTAGGACCCCCAGTTATATATGATCGTTTTTAGGCCTTTTTTAAAATGCTCATAAAAAATCGAGGGTTCAATATTTTTTGAATCGGCTTGCGTCAAAATTCATAAAACTCTTCCCTCTATAACATATCTTAAATTGAGAAGAATCTGACGACATTGATTGAGCAACTTCGATCGTGGCTTACATGGACTGGCTCATATATAGAAGAATTGAAAACTTGATTGACTTGGTTGATAATCTTCAGTTTTTTGCATAAAATGATCATATGCTCGCCGATCTGATTCTTTCACTCTGTATTATTTTTTCTTGCTGGCCTGATTAGCTTCACGCATCACTGATGTCATATCAATAATTCTGCTGTTAAACAATATTTTTTTTCTTCTCTGTATTCTAATTTGTGATACATAGAGGGATGTTTCGGATAGGAAATAGGTCAGAAGTTGCCCTCAATCTTTGAAAATTTTCAACAAAAATCATCGATCCCCTCAAGTTTTGCCACTTCGAGATACCCATAAATATATAAATTCATATTCGTATTTTAAGGTCCCCAAAAAAGTCACTTTTGTCACAATAATCGAAAGTAAGATTAAATGCATGGGAAGATAGCCTGTGATGTTATCTTACGTAAGCAACAAAGTTTTTACTCAGCATCTCGTTTTCTACCAAAATTTTTGAGGATTTCTATCATACCCTATTTGACAATTAAGTTATATTTAGAAAAAATAAAATCTTTTTCACTTTTTTCTCCGTTTATAGTTTCTTGATCGTGAAATCTAAATTTCGCTGTCAATACTCATTCTATATATTTAATTTTTTTGTTTGAGAGAGTACGTCAATACCCAGTGTAGTGCACAGCCCTTTCGTTTGATTAAGCTTTGCTTTTTATGTACAAACACATTTATATAATTGTGGGGTCATTTTAGAGAGGTTTTTGAATCATTTAACTTTCAATCCCTGTTCTCGCGTTAAAAATAAGAGTTTAAAAGGAAGCGCTCTGTACTGCACTGCATTCTGGCATGCTCTTTCAAACAAAAAGAAATTAAATGTATAAAATGAAACTGAACAAAGAAATTAGATTAGTCAAATGAGCTATTTTTTACCTTTGTTTGTACCATATCGTCCTCAAACATTATGATATTGAGCTGAAAGTTTTACCGTAGCTTCTCGATTCCAGTTCTAACATATGTTGAAAATGTCATGCCATTTGAACGTTCCTGGATTGAGATTAGTTTTTGAGGAGGTCTTAAGACATTTCTTACAATGTTAGTGCGCTTCTTCTTGAGAACAGTTTTAAAATTTTGCTGTAGGAGAATTTATTCAAGAATGCCTCGCAATATGTGAAATTGATATGGCTGTGAATTTCTCGAAAAATATATTAACATTGATTAATAATAATGGCTTATGAAAGATCACTTAGCCATACACTTTTAGCCGCATATTAAACTGAAATGATTTTCTTAAAATCAGAGAACAATTGTTTTTAGAATAAACGTTTATCAGTATAGTTTTTGCATTCTCTATCGTTATGAAATCATGTTTGAATTTGTTAACAGCAGGTGGTCACGTGGTCATGCACAATGAGAACGAACAAAGTCGTTTGTTTGCTGCGATAGTTGTCGTCACATGCTTTTGTATTTTTCTTCATTCGTCGACGTTCTGTCATGTATTTTTATTTGTACACGTTGTTGGTAAATGAGTGTCGAAGTTGTGCGTAGACGTTAATGCATAGATGAAGAGTATTTGACTTTTTTATTCAGATAATCAGGCATGGAATCGGCAGCAACTAAGAAGCCCTGTATTAAATGTACTAAAAGTGGAGGAATTATCACATGTGGTGGTTGTCAACAATGGTTCTGTATCAGACATCTGCTTGACCATCGAGAAGAACTATCCGTACAGATGGATCAAGTCGGTCAAGAACATGATCTTCTGCAACGTGATCTGATTTCAGAGGAGAGCATACATCCACTTGTAACTCTCATCAACAAATGGGAAATAACTTCAATCGAAAATATCCGAGTCGCTGCACAAGATGCTCGAAATGATTTACAGAAATACCTTGACCATACCAAGATTCAAGTGAAGACAACACTCTTGTCAATAAATAACGAATTACAAGCCAGTCGTGAATCTGATGATTATACAGAGTTAGATTTGGCCAGATGGATACAACAATTGGTAGAACTTCGAGATATACTCGAGAAACCATCCACTATCGATTTTATTGATGATGATCGGACGCAGCCTTTGATTCATCGAATTCAAATGAAACAACGCGAGGCAGCACACACACTAGGTAGAGGATCGGAAAAAGCTCTCGTTCGAACAAATGCAAGTAAGTATCTCACCATTAACTAGCAAAGTTTTCAGATATAAAATAGTCAACCTAGAAGACAGATTTTGAGTTTGACTTATATACTGTGTTTAGCATCTAATAAGTCTAAATATGGTATAATATGCAAATCTCTTTTAATTTTGTGTCAATTCATGACTCACAGATTAAACTTATGCCACAAGACTAAATTCATTAGACATAGGCTAACGATGTTAAGAATGAATGTTTCGGCAATCTTGTTAGTTGAAAGGCTCTGATATATGCTATGCCAGTTGAAGCAATCAAGACTATATCAGAAATAGTTCTTTGAAACTTTTAATCAATGTTTTATTAGCAGAAAAAAAACTGGCAATCAACTGAAATAAAAGCTATGCGAAATTTTCTGATGTCTTAGGCTCACCGCATATTCAAACCATTGCTTACTTTTCTTCATCTCTGTAGCACTATTTCATGCAATAACAGAAAGTATTGAACACAATGTCTTTTGAAAGAAAAAAATGCAAAGCTATACTTCCAAAACTGAAAGAGATCTTTTGGTATCAATGAGACCGTTTTTATTCTGGTCCACTGATCAGAAGAGTCCATCATGCAAATATTTTTACTACCTTTGCTTTTTTCTTGAATTTGTACTTATGATGTGCTCTTGTTAAGTCCTTCTCTTATGAATTTTCCGTGAAGTTTCCACGAGGACGATTTTCTGTACTTTAGTTTCGCCTTAAATGCCAAAATTTCTTTTGATTGTGCTCTTTCGTTCACCGAGTGCCTATGAATATGAATCTGCCAGTATTCGTTAAGAAGCCTCGCTGAGTGGTGTAGTATCCTACAACTGTAGGTAGATGAGGAGATTTTTGTTATAAAAACAGTTGAGACTGCATTAGTTGAATAGTTAAATGATAAAAAATCTCACAGACAAGTAGAATCCTTTGAAAAGTTGATAGGTTGATTAAGACAGATAAGTATCTCGAAAGGGATTGTTAATATGGACGGCTATTACAATAAATCATTAGTCATTCGATTCAAAATGACATGAATTTTCGTCGTCTTCATGATATATTCTTGATAGAAATTTATTCACATGACTCAATGATTTTCGTTACAGTGCAATCTCTTGTAAACATTCCTCTCAATGCCAATTGGGAATCCAATGGAATCACCGTCGCTGGTGGCAACAGAAAAGGTCCTTTATCAAATCGATTTTCTCAACCTATTGGTCTTTATGTAGATGAGGATCAAACGATTTATATAGCGGACTATGGCAATCACAGTATTGTAGAATGGAAATGTAATGCAACAAGTGGGAAAGTGGTGGCTGGCGGCAATGGGCCAGGAAATGGAATTAATCAATTGAATAATCCAACCGACGTGATTGTTGACAATGCGACAGATAGTCTAATCATTTGTGATAAGGGAAATCGGCGAATCGTGCAATGGTTTCGTCGCAGTGGCACAATTGGGCAATCAATTATCGAGAATATTCACTGTAGCAGATTGAAGATGGATGACCAGAAATTTCTGTATGTCACGGACAATAAAGAGAATTCAGTTCTACGGTATCGAATGGGAGAAAAACATGGACAAGTGGTGGCAGGTGGCAACGGACGTGGTGATGGTCTGAATCAACTGAATTGTCCTACAGGCATCTTTGTAGATCAAGACTATTCTGTGTACATATCGGATTGGGGAAATAATCGTGTGATAAAATGGATGAATGGTGCTAAAGAAGGGATTGTCGTAGCTGGTGGTCAAAACGAAGGCAATGATATAGCGCGATTGTCTCGTCCACAGGGAGTGATTGTCGATGCATCAAGTACAGTCTATGTGGCAGACGGATGGAATAATCGAATAATGCGCTGGTGTAAAGGAGCTACAGAAGGAAACATCATTGCTGGTGGAAACGGTCGAGGAGACAAAGCAAACCAGTTGCATGAGGTCATGGGCTTGTCATTTGATCGAGATGGGAATATCTATGTTGTCGATCAAAAGAATTATCGAATACAAAGATTCAATATCAGAATAAATCGAGCTTGAATATGAATGTTATCGAATAGTTGATTTCTGTTTATTTTTTGTTTCGAACGATGAAATGAAGAGAAGAAATTTCTCGACTAAATATTGGAATTATTATGAGAATAGAATATGAAATAGTGCCATTTGATGATTTGTTTTCTATTTGTCTCTTTCGGCTACTCGAACAGCTGCGCTTAGTTCGATGTCTAATTTTGACTTGAAAAACAAAGTGTAGGTGCGAATATTGATGTCACCCATACCCCACTATACAAAAATATAATCAGTTTTATAAGCCAAAAACGAGTATACAACCATTCATTTTCAATTACTCCAAATCTTAGAATCACTCTGATCTTTAAACTGTTCAAATATTTAACAATCGTTTTAAAGATATTTACTTTGATATATTTCCATTAAAAAAAACACAGTAATATCAAATTAGTGAGTATAAAGTTCATCAAACAAATCCATTTCTTCTAAATCATTAATCATCCAACTTATTGCTCAGAGAGTGGCAAACTGCCTTAAAGCAACGTGCTGATTGTGTATGCTGATGAAAAATCATTTGAATTCTTGTTTTTCTATTAAGTCAGATAACGAAATTTTAGAATATGTCAAGGTTAATATGTTTAGCAATTGTTCAACTATCAAAGAATGACTTAGCAATCAATTTTCTGGATATCACACTTTATGCAGTAAGTTTTGATAAACACCTTATATTTCCAAGAACCATATGGGTTATTTTGAGTCCATGCACGAAAGCCTTATTTGAGGAAGCAGCACGGAAGGTGACTACGTGTATAACATCTAGGAAAATGAAGTAATACAAAAAATTATCCTCGCACAAGGTGTGGGTGGTTTGGGTGTCCATGTCTTTTTTTTCATCTAAACTCACACCCACTCACACACCCACACCCACACCCATAATCTTTTGTAAGACTAGATTTGATTTGACACAAAGACAATTAAAAATATTCGTCGATCTCGGAATATAGCCATCTTGAGGTTAGGTGTGGGTGTGTGGATTCTCTTCATCCTCGACTAACACCCACAACTATTTGTAGGAGACTGGAAAAGCACATGTGCAGCAATGTTATAGGATAAAAAAACATGGTTTCATTGAAGGTGCGAATCTGTGCCTGTGTTGTGAATGCATATTTAAGTGAATGAAAAAGCTCAACAAGACGAACACTCTACAAATTGAATTTCTCTCCGTTTAGATATTCGACTTAAAGTTGCCTGTAATTGAGAAAACATAGCATACCATTAGATGTAAAGTGTGTTTTTTAGAGACAACTTTTCAATAGTATATTTCATTTGTATTTATTATTGTATATCCATTTTTCTTGACCAGTAACTCAAGCATTCCATGAGAGTACAATTATGTAGAAAGATGGAATACGAATAACTCATTTTGTATAATCTATTAGGTCGCCTCCACCAAAAATAAAGCAGTAAATTGTAAGTTGATTTTTTTCGTGTTTCAACGAACACAAAACTCTCAACAAGTAAATACTGATTGAAACTAACGATACAGAAGAATTACTTGCTTAAAACAATTCGTATGCTAGTACTTTGGCATCTCCGCAACAATTCGTTCGTTTTATATACGCCTTACATCCAAATATGTGAGATCAAATTGTGAAACGTTGATCGTGGTTGACATCTCAAAAGCCTATTCTAGGAATTTCATATGTTCGGTAATGATATTAAGGTGATCAGGATTGATCTATAGTTCTATAAATTATCAACATAAAAAATAATAATTCGCTCATCATACTAATTCTATTTACATGTAAAACGTTGTTTTAAAAAATTCCTGTGAAATCTAAATACGTGAATGGGTGTAGTTGTTCTGGCACATTATAGTGGATTTGCATCTAATTATTTACTTTATTCCCTTACGTCGTTCTTTTGCTTACTGCTTCAAAGATTAAATAAGAAAAATAGAACAGTGTTTACAGCCGTCGGTGAAAGAATGAATCAGTTTAAGTGAAGTACGAAGTATCAAGCAAAAATCTTATACTTTATTTTGTTGAAATTATACAATCATTCATCGATTTAATTTTCATCCACCAAACACATAATGATGCTCTCGGTTAGTTTCGAGGTTGCGAAAGAAAAACCTCGTAGCTTAAAAAACATTGAAGAAAAAATCCTAACATTCAAAGAAATTGTAATTACGATTCAACGATCAAAACAAATCAATCGTAATGCAGACATAACACACAGTGCTCTGCGTGCAATATGGTAGCTAGTTCCTTTCAAAAATGAAGGTATAGGAGGAAAAAATATACAAAAAATATTTCATTCGGGATTCTTTTCATCATAACATACATTTTATTGAATATCTTTGTTATTTTAACTTTACTATGTATTCTTCATTATTTCTTGCCATTGTGTTTTGCTTATTTTTTGCGAGTAGTGCATCAATTCGATGCTATGAAATAGTCGATGCCAAATGCTTATTAACATCTGATGTTAATGATTGTGGTGACAATGGTCCATGTGTTTGCTATGCATATAGTGCTAAATGCGAAGAAAATGAATTAGAATGTACAGATGACGACATTGAAAAAGGCATTGTAAAATGGCGATATGGAGTTATCGGAAACGACCTATGCAAACAGCTCAAAGACCCATATTTTGAAGCTATTGATGCAGAATGTTGTTCAACTGATGGTTGCAATCGACCAAGAAATGATGAATGTGGAGCGACGCAAACTCGTCGTCGTATTCTACAAAAATTTCATGATTTATTTCATTTTTAATGGTCATCTCTAATCAAAACACCACGAATAAAAAAACAAACTGTCACATTTAAACACAATTTCATTAATTTTAACGTTTTTATTTAATAGGATTATTCATATGATCATGTATACTTTCACATAGGCTTGCTATTTTTGATAATTATTGCTTCTTACATAGTATAATCGATTGGTGAAAAGGAAGACAAAAAAAAAGGTTTATTCTTTTTTAATACACTGTTTCGAACTAATTTATTTAAACAATGGAAAAGAGGCTCAAGATGAATTAAAAAGTTTTATACTTAAGATTAATTGTCAGATCTTGCTAGTAATGGAATTGCTATTAGTACAATACCCATGCTATTGAAATGTGAAATATGATCTGACTATTGAAGATCTTGGTAACATGTATGCATACACAGTTATTGTTGAAGAAAAGACTATGGAGAAGCGCAGTCAAATCATTTAGACGTGCAGCTTGTCAAAGTGAAAAACGGTATGAATGAACATATAAAACGAGATTCCCAAAAGAACATATTAAAAGTAATGAAAAAAGGGCGTGGGTGTGGGATGTGGATGGATGTGAATCCTCTCTCCTCCCGCACTCACACCCCATACCCTGATCGAGATCTCTTAATAAAATGGAATCATTTGATAGTAAACTAGCGGCTATTTTTGGATTTTTCGGTGATAGTTTAATCTTTGCTTTTATCAACTCATGGATTAATTCGATTAACGATAACATCGCTGATGTTACTGCTTGAATTATATTTTGTGGTAATAAATGACCTTCTCTTAGTTCAAGAGGAAGACATATTTAAAACTTTTACGAAAAATCCTAAATTAATCACGTCACTTGAGCAATTATTTACGTATTCATTGAAAAGTGACCAATTAATAAAATCCTCAGAGTCTATTTCTGTTTCTTTTCATATTGAAATCTATATATCCATCACATAATGTGGAGTCTAATATTTCGTTATCAAGATAATTTGTTTTTATTTGGATATTTTGTTGATGAGGTTCTTTACTTAGAATAGTGAAATGTTCTCGGTAAATATGTGATTTATAAGCACTAAATGTTGAATATTTGGTTCCACAAGTTGGGTCAAGTCCACATGAGATTTTAAAATTTCGTTCACCGAGATGAATATATTGTGTGTTTAAATACCTTACGAAATGTGTCAAACGGTTCCGGTGTGGAACACAACTGACAAAATAATATAATTTGAATTAGACATTTAAAATACTAACTTGTAAAAATATTAATAATGTGCTGATTATTTGAAAACAATGATAACCATTTCATAACTTGAACAACATTCCATTGTTTGGAATCCATGAAACTGAGCAAATGAATAGTAATTTAAAGAAAAAATTAATGAATAACATCTAAAATAGTAAAAGAAATATCCTACCGTTTAAATAAATACTAAGCAAAGAAGAGAAAGAGCCATGCAATTAAAAAGCAAGAATATATTCGCATTCTCAAAAGTTTATATATGGAATCGAACTTTCCACTTCATAGAACTAAAACTCTGACAAATTCCGTATCAATAAACTCGAAGAGCTGTAAATTGATTTACTTGAGAGAGATGATATGATGATTCAAATCCAAAACAATTATAAACTCATCTAATAAAAAGATTACTATCTTGAACAGTCCAATAAAAAAACCACGAAACCTTGGCCTTAAAACTTCCATTCACTACTTTCGTCGAAAATATATGTGAGTTTCACAAAATAAAAATTTCCGCTGAAACTAAAAATGTACTTCACCACATAATCACGCTAATGACAGTATGTGCTAATAAAATCTTAAATCGTAAACCAAAAACACAGACACTATATTTCTCAACTTGTATTTTAGGCAGTGGATGAAGGAAATGAATTCTAACTTAATGTAAGATACATTGAACATCGTGGAAAAAAGTGATTGGCTTCACTCTACTCAATGATGTACCAAGTTCTCATTGAGAGTGCTACTTTACAGCGAGTGCTTATTATTACAACTACGAAGTCCATGTAAAAATGAATAGAAATTTAACGACGTTACAACAGCAGATTTTGTTTTTGGCCATGAAAACAGGTCAATTTTTTTCAAAATAAAACTCAGCAAGTACTTCGCCGTTAGAAATAATTTAGTTTGTAATAATATTCTAGTTTCGTTGAAAAACTTTTTAGCGCATTTTCATGATGAGAAAAAAAAACTTTTTTTTTGTTTCAGAGATAGTTGTTTTTTTTGAAACTCATATGAGATGTTGTTTGAGA